CATTAGTGAGACAGAAATATAGGTACAGAGCATTCCTCTCTCATGTGTCATTAGTGAGACAGAAATATAGGTACAGAGCATTCCTCTCTCATGTGTCATTAGTGAGACAGAAATATAGGTACAGAGCATTCCTCTCTCATGTGTCATTAGTGAGACAGAAATATAGGTACAGAGCATTCCTATTTTGTCATATGTCAAAAACTTCTTTAAAGATTTTACACATTGACCTTTAATATGTAATTCATTTGAACACACCTGGTCACCCTTCAGCCTAGCAGGATTCTGGCAGAATATCACCACCCTGGGCAATTGGGTTATTCAGAAGTAGTTGAAAGATTTTAATAAATTTGACCCAAATGACCTTGAATGTGGGTCAAGACCTTTATCCCAGCATGCAACTGGCCAGATATCATTACTCCAAGTCTTTCGGTTATTCAAAAGAAATTGTTTGTGGAGTTTTTAAACATTTAACCCAAGTCGCCTCAAAAGTGACTCAAGCTTAATGCTTTGAATAACATTTGTAACCCTTCTTCCCAGAATGACACTGGATGGATATCATCACCTTGGAGATTTAGGTTATTCAGAAGAAGTTTTTTTCTTCTTTTATTTTTTTTTTCCTAAATATTTGACCCCAGTGACCTTCAAAATGAGTCAGGGTCATTCACTTGAACACACCAACCAGAAGTTAGAGTGGCCATTTTGAATCCTAAAATTAAGAAGTTGGCATTTCATTCTTAAGTATAAACCCTACATACGTATCACCCAGAGTATTAATAAAGTCTGTCCCATACAACTTGAGTTATAATCATTTTGTCTCAGCCAATCAGAGGTCATGGCAGCAAAAACTGTGAAAAGGCAGTATCATTAAAATTGTTACCCAACGATTCTAATTAAATAATCTTTCACATTTGAATTCTACAATCTTACATTATATGCATACACTAATATAACTATGCAAGCATTGAATGCATCAAATCATTGGAAGGCAGAGCAGTTGTTTCCTCAATGACTTTATCATTTCATACAAAACCTTCACATTAATATTATCATGCCATCATAATTGTCTCCCTTGTTGAAAATCTTGTCTTTTCCTATTGCTGTGCAAAGGGTAATATTTTACTTAATGTCTTTATGGGAAAATGTGTCGACCGTATTTTTCTGTGGAATTATTACAAAAACATATTCAAATGCTTGAAATCTTTCAGGTACTAATTTTGAAAAACCTGTCATGTTACTGCTAAGAAAGCATATGAACATCAAAACAAAATTACTTGTTTTAATATTTGGAATAGGAGTGACATTACAGTTATATATTTCTTGATTGTCATTACACGAATATATATTTAATATGCATTTTTCAAACAGCTTGTTGAATATTTGAATATGAAAATATGACAATTTGACTGTTAAAAAGAAGTATTAATTTGTATGTATGAATAATTCATAATGTCACAAATCAATAGATATTGTTATTCAGAAATCTGTTGAGAATGTCTTATCTATGATTTAACAAATCACACTGATCTGCTCATGAATGACAATGTCATCAGGTTCCCATGGATGAGAAATCTGATATTTATTTGAAAAAATCCTTTTACCTGCTTTCAAAGAATCTAAAAACATGAGAAATTTATTCATGTACAACATCTTACTATGGCAGTGACTGAGACTGTAACATGTCACGGTCAGCTAGAGCCATTCTGTTCAACACCGGAGTTTTTTTCTCTTTGTATGTTATACAGAGTACTGTACACAAATCTTACCGGTGTCTTTTCTCTTTGTATGTTACACAGAGAGTACTGTACACAAATCTTACCGGAGTCCTTTTCTCTTTGTATGTTACACAGAGAGTACTGTACACAAATCTTACCGTTGTTCTTTTCTCTTGTGTATGTTACACAGAGAGTTTCGTACACAAATCTTACCAGAGTTCTTTTCTCTTTGTATGTTACACAGAGTACTGTACACAAATCTTACCGGAGTCCTTTTCTCTTGTGTATGTTACACAGAGAGTACTGTACACAAATCTTACCAGAGTTCTTTTCTCTTTGTATGTTACACAGAGTACTGTACACAAATCTTACCGGAGTCCTTTTCTCTTTGTATGTTACACAGAGAGTACTGTACACAAATCTTACCGGTGTCTTTTCTCTTTGTATGTTACACAGAGTACTGTACACAAATCTTACCGGTGTCTTTTCTCTTTGTATGTTACACAGAGAGTACTGTACACAAATCTTACCGTTGTTCTTTTCTCTTGTGTATGTTACACAGAGAGTTTCGTACACAAATCTTACCAGAGTTCTTTTCTCTTTGTATGTTACACAGAGTACTGTACACAAATCTTACCGGAGTCCTTTTCTCTTGTGTATGTTACACAGAGAGTACTGTACACAAATCTTACCAGAGTTCTTTTCTCTTTGTATGTTACACAGAGTACTGTACACAAATCTTACCGGAGTCCTTTTCTCTTTGTATGTTACACAGAGAGTACTGTACACAAATCTTACCGTTGTTCTTTTCTCTTGTGCTTGTCTTCTCTCTTGTTAGCATCCTGTCCTTCCTTGAGTTGGTAGAACCTTGGCTGGCTGGTATCACCAAGTTCCTTTTTCTCCAGTCTGTCCTGACGATCCTTCTCATACTGAAGACGCTTTGCCTCGTGGTACTCTCGTTTGTGGTCGTCAGTCCACATATGCTCATCATCAGAGCTACTGTCGTCCTCACTCGCACGACCCTCAACCTCATCATCCTCCTGCCATGTTAAGATACAATATGAAATAGTTTCAAATTTCATTTACAAGTCAAAGATACATATTTCTTGTGTCTTGATGAATTCTTGTTTCTAGTTTTGTTCAATAGAAGTGAACTCTTTACTAAAATAGGGAACTGAAGTATGATCTTCTTGTGTCATTACTTTACTTTAAAAAGTTTTCAATACATATAACCCCAGCTGTGACCTTGAACATAGCTAATGACCATTAGTTTGAACACACTTGAAGGCCATTCATTCCAGCATGACTCATCATTTATTCATATTACAAAAGCAGATAAAATGAGCTCTGTGACCTTGAACAGAGGTGAAGAACATTTTTTTGAACAAATTTGGTAGCTTTTCATCTGAGCATTTACAGATAAGTTACACACCAAATAAAGGAAGTGGTGGTCAGGTCAATAATGTGATGAGCTCACCTCTACTAGGTAATGTGATGTACTCACCACTACCTGATAATGTGAAGTACTCACCACTACCTGATAACGTCAAGTATTCACCTCTATACTACCTGATATTGTCATGTACTCACACCTCTACCTGATTAAGTCATGTACTCACCACTACCTGATAATGTCATGTACTCACCTCTACCTGATAATGTCATGTACTCACCTCTACCTGATAATGTCATGTACTCACTCACCACTACCTGATTAAGTCATGTACTCACCACTACCTGATAATTTCATGTACTCACCACTATCTGATAATGTCATGTACTCACCACTACCTGATAAGGTCTACCTGATAATGTCATGTACTCACCTCTACCTGATAATGTCATGTACTCACTCACCACTACTGTAGTGGTGCATGTACTCATCACCACCTGATAATGTCATGTACTCATCACTACCTGATAATGTCATGTACTCACCACTACCTGATAATGTCATGTAGTGGTGAGTACATGTACTCATCACCACCTGATAATGTCATGTACTCATCCCTACCTGATAATGTCATGTACTCACCACTACCTGATAAGGTCTACCTGATAATGTCATGTACTCACCTCTACCCGATAATGTCATGTACTCACCACTACCTGATAACGTCATGTACTCACCTCTACCTGATAATGTCATTTACTCACCACTACCTGATAATTTCATGTACTCACCTCTATCTGATAATGTCATGTACTCACTCACCACTTCCTGATAATGTCATGTACTCACCTCTACCCGATAATGTCATGTACTCACCACTACCTGATAATGTCATGTACTCACTTCTACCTAATAATGTCATATACTTCTACCTGATAATGTCTTGTACTCACCACTACCTGATAATGTCATGTACTCACCTCTACCTGTTAATGTCATGTACTCACCACTACATGATAATGTCAAGTATTCACCTCTACCTGATAATGTCTTGTCCTCACCACTACCTGATAATGTCATGTACTCACCTCTACCTGATAATGTCATGTACTTCTACCTGATAATGTCTTGTACTCACCACTACCTAATAATGTAATGTACTCACCTCTACCTGATAATGTCATGTACTCACCTCTACCTGATAATGTCATGTACTCACTCACCACTACCTGATAATGTCATGTACTCACCTCTACCTGATAATGTCATGTACTCACCTCTACCTGATAATGTCATGTACTCACTTCTACCTAATGTCATGTACTCACTTCTACCTGATAATGTCATGTACTCACCCCTTCCTGATAATGTCATGTACTCACTTCTACCTAATAATGTCATGTACTCACTCACCACTACCTGATAATGTCATGTATTCACTTCTCCCTGATAATGTCATGTACTCACCACTACCTGATAATTTCATGTACTCACCACTACCTGATAATGTCATGTACTCAACACTACCTAATAATGTCATGTACTCACCACTACCTGATAATGTCATGTATTCACTTCTACCTGATAATGTCATGTACTCACACCTCTACCTGATAATGTCATGTACTCACCTCTACCTGATAATGTCATGTACTCATCACTACCTGATAATGTCATGCACTCACCTCTACCTGATAATGTCATGTACTCACCACTACCTGATAATGTCAT